AAAGCTTCATGTGAATGTTGTAATCCAGTGATCCTCAACCAGGGTGTCTTGAGAGCCAGCACTGCTAGGTGTGCAACCATGATTCACATGCTAAACTCAGAGATTTCAAATAGAACATTCTGATCTGTTCTGGTCTGGGTATTTAACAGAAGAATTGTTCTATTATTTTTAACTAGTGAAAAAACAAGGCAAAACTAAGAGCTGGCATTATGTAAGGGGTGCCATAAATCTAACAGTGGATGCCTTGAATCTAAAAAGGTTGAGTACCACTGCTTTAAGCCCTGCTAATGACAGACTCTCCTGTAAATTGCCTCAAGGCAATAGTCCCTTTTTGACAATTGGCAAATAAGTGTGATTTTTCTTGTATGGGAGCAGAAGTTTCACTTCTGAGAGGTAGTTTTTTTTCTAGTGGACAGAAAAATTTGCAATGGGGTAGGAACCATAAAGCCTAAGCTCTGTGTCTGGCACTGGCAGTGATCAGCTATATAACCTTGGGCAAATCACTTCAGAGCACATCTGTTTTTCTTGCCTTCTTTATTTGATAAGATCTTTAGAGAAAATGACCTCATCCATTTTCTGTTTTAGAGCACCCAAAGCAATGGGATCCCAGTTGTGGTTGGGCCTTCTAGATATTGCCAAACTTGTAATAAAGAACTTGGAAGTAAACTGTTCTGTTGCTTATAATTTTTTAAGTATTATTCTTTCCAGGTAATCAAAAATGTTTTCTCCTAGAGATTTAAATATAATAACTAGCTCAAAGCTTGTCTTTTTAAAAAATAAAATAAAATGGAAGAGTATATTATTCACTATGGCTCAATTCAAAATGGTCAAGTAAAATCTATTCTGTCCACAATAAAGCCCTGTTGTTTGAAGTTGTGACTAAATACAATTTTGAAGAATATTTTTCATAAAGTTATGAACACAGGAAAACAAGCTTTCTCTCCCTCTCTCATGTTAAATACAACTTTTCTGCCAGTTCAGTGAAAATACAATTACACCGCACAGTTATACACAGTGCTTTATCTCCTCAGAATGCTGTATAATCCTGAAAGGCACAGATTAGAATTCTCCTGAATTTAGTTAGCGAGCTATCCTGTCAGCATACCTCAGCCCATGTAAACCACATCTACTGTCTCTGTTCAAAGACTACTAATAAGGATACTAGATGTCACAATATTTTTCTTTGTGTATGAATACTGGTATACTAGGCATTGTATCAATTCCACCTATTAGTTTTCATATAAGCCATCAAAGAGCTGTCAGACAGTCTTATTTTTAGTCATTACTAACCTTTGCTGTACTTGAACTGGTGACCTATTGTGACCTAAAGGTGAAGTATCCTATTACCAATCGCCTAAGGCCTAAGCGATTCAATCATCTTACTGCCAGGGATTTGGGGGATGGTATCTGGAGCAGGGCCACTAGAAAAATGTCAAAGCTGTTTGCATCAGGCAAACAAGGTTTTGGATATACAACTTAAGTACAGTCCTGATATACTTGCCCACCCTAAAACATTTTAGCTACTAACTTCAGTTTCTTAACCATTTTAATGCTCAGAAAGCAAAAGATGTGTGTATACCAGTAGGATTAAAGCATAGTACAACTGGATACTAGAAGAGTTTCTCTGACTGACTAGAATGGTAAGTCTGACAAAGTGTGGCCTCTTCAGACCATCAATGGATGGTATTTTTGATTTTCAGTCTTCTGTACTTGACCAGTGCTGTTGGCAGTACCAAAACGTATTCAGTTTGTTACTTTTAGCTTTGGGGTACATGAGAATGCATGCACACACCTTCATAGAGGCTCTTTCACCTAGTGTAACTAGGTGAGATTGAGAGGGGCACCAACTCTGGACATCAACTTGTGGGGGTACCAGAATGATACCCCCTCTTCTAGAGTCTTCTCTGCACAGGAACTGAGCTCGAGAAGACCTGTGCTGCTTGGCTGTAGGAGCTGCGTGCCAGGACGTGGTAGAAGTAGTCCTATACTGCGTAGCCCTAGAAGCCAAACAGGAGCAGCCCCACGCTGCCAGACCATGTGAGATGGGTGCAGGGACATGGCATGAGCATCAGAGGGCTTTTGAATCCTCACAGCACACCTTTTATGCCCAGGTGGTTCAGGGCTACTCCAGCTCACCATGTAGGGCTAGGCAGCACAGGGCTGCTCCTGCTGTGTCCTGGCATCCAAATCCTACGATCAGGCAGAGAGGCTTCTCCAGTTCAACTCTTATGGCTGGCAGAGGAGTGCCAGGAAGGAGGGGGTGGGGGGCAGAGGCACAGGGCCGCTCCATATGAGACAAAGGAGCTCTCACCCCTGCTCCTCACCACCCCTGACGTTTTGCTCAGAGCACCAACAATTATAGTTTCACCTCTGCCTTTCAGTCCAATGCAGTCAGCTCAAAATCAAGTGTTTTTTGTGAACTTTTATTTAAAGTGTGTGGTGCTTTGAAATAACAATGAGTTGTAGGGATTCACAGAACAATCTTACCTTGAGCACTATTCTGTGCCTAGGATTCGTGGAATTTAACTGTTAGAATTTTCATTTAATCTGTATCATTAGACAATATATTATAGCTTTGGTATTATTGCAGCCTTGGAGCTAATGCTGTCTGAAAGGAAATGTTAGCAATTTTTTTAAATTGTATCCATTTAAATGCACTGAAATGGGAATTTATAAGCACTTTAGTAAATGAGCAGAAAGTTTGTCTAGTTTCATTTTAACTCCATTAATACCAATGCTATCATATTATGTTGAGATATTATAACCTACACTTCAATAGCATATTCTAGCTGAGGATCTCAAGGTGGGCTCTTGCCCTTCATGAATTAAAAGTCACAATGGGGGTTAGTAATAGTATTACTCATACAAATGGAAAAACCGGTGCAGAGAGATGTTACATTGTATATGGAATCTTTGAGAAGCAGGAACAGGATATAGATCTCCTGATTCCCAGTACTTTGAGTCCCTTGGCTTTGCCACCCTGTAAATTTTTTTTCTTTCTATTAGTGGTATAAATCACCACACTGAAAACAAACACAAAACAATTGTGGGAGACTTTTTGTAACCCTGCTTCTCAATCACTCTTGTTACATATTATGAAGAGTTTCTATTAGCTAGAGAAGAAATATGAAATCATTTCTGTGATGAGGCTCATTTACATTTTTAAAAGTTATGGTTTGTGAGCCAAGCCTATGAAATTATACATGCACTACCCTTGATCTGCAGCAAATCTACCGCTAAAAATAATGAAATATTTGCATGGTCAAGAGAAGATCATGTCCTAATTACCACTGCTGTGGAAGAGTCCACAACATTGACAATGTAATGGAGAAACTGGAAACAGCTCTTGGTAAGTTTTTTAATACAGGCCTCAGAGGTTAGAACTAAAGGTACTAGACAGACAAGTTGGCTGCATCTGGGTTGATGATTTTTGAATCACCTTGCTTTAGCAGTAGTGGTAACTTTTTTCTCCTAAATGTTGATCATCTCAGTTACATGCCCCAAACATTCTCAATTTTTTTTCTTTAAAAGAGATTGGATTGGTCCTGAGTCATGGCTCATTTTTTCCAAAGCACTTCTCAGACTTCTTGTTGTACAAGTACCTTTAAGGTAAAAAGGTGAAAATACCATGTTACCAGACTTTTGCTGCTATATGATTCCTCATGTCCAGAGAGGTAGCAGTTTCTTACTGGGTGGATGCTGGGCTCTAAAGCTGTATGGCGGCTTTCCAAATAAAGAAAGCATTCTTGGTTTAGAATAATGCAGCAGGCTGTCAGTGAGCACATGATATGATGAAAGAGAGGAAGGATTTCTATGCCACTGGAAAGAAAGTTTAGAAATATTTTAAAAATATTTCAGACAGTTGATTGGATGAACTGAGATTTAGGTTTTAAATTTCATATTACTTAGGATGGTAGGTGATTTTCAGTCTCATTTATTCTGAGGGAAATGACTACAAAATATGTCAGTAGTACCAAACAGCTTCAGGTCTTGACATTTTCCATAAATGCTTCATCTTTTTCTTCCTGACTTCCTGATTTGGATTTATTGATTCTCATTTACATATTCTCTCTTATCTAATCCAGACATTTTGCACGGCAACTCCTACCATGATTATCCATCAGTATTTTTCTACTTGTACAAAATATTCTTGACACACAGTGTACCTTGCCTTCTTTTATCCTCTTTGTCATTTCTGTAAAGATCATTTTCAGTGTTGACATTCTTGTCATGAAGTTTAACCCACAATGCTCCTGTCACACCTACTTTCTCATATTTCACCTTCTGAAGTTATCACCTCTAACTTATCTTTTTTTCTACTACATCACAAGAGAAAGTGAGCTTAGTATTAATGCACTGTACCTGACTGTATAATAAAATACACTCTTTAGGACATAAAGGACAAACAACCTCCACAGACGAACACAAATAGCTAAACAAAAACTTTTTTACTGTACTTCTAAAAAAACATTAAGACATATTTTCCATTTTGTTTCTCTTTTAACCTGTCTTTAAACTTAAACTCATTTGTTGATTTAGCTTTTACAGATATACTGTTCAGTCCATTTGACTTCCCTATCATAACAGCTGCAGTGCTGATAAGTTACTGGCATTTTACCTCCTTAATGTGCACATGACGTAAATTGCAGCAACCACATCCTGTGGTTTTGGATAAGAGATTTCCGTCCCACTCAGTTCTCAGGTCTGGATTCAGGAAAGCATATGATTACGTTAATTTCTGTTTTATTCGCATGTTTAGGTTCTGCACTGAAAAGAAAGGTGGGAGGGGTAAAATTCATGGTATAAAATAGTGAAAACAATGTACATTTTGCATATTCCAGAGGTGAGCTATTTTTAAAACAACTGCAATATCTAAGTATATTGGTGCTTCTTTTAAAGTTTCTTATTTCCAGTTTTGAGGGAAAATAGAAAAGTTTTACTTTCAAAGGAAAACAAAACATAC